CTGCCTAACATGATTCATCACAGTAATCAACAAAATACACCTAACCACCTAATACCAGAATAAAAAATAGAACATAAAACAAAATTACCATACCAACTGTAAGTGGTTATGTGTGGCAGTCCATGTGTCTCTACTTTGATGTGATAATCCCTCAATCTGCATCTACCTTAAATTCTTCTGTTCCTTGTTCAGTCCCCTCATTTACTGGCCTAAACATAGTGTCTAGGTATTCCACTGCCTCCAAAACAAGTTCCTTTTGCACTGGTATATTATTTGGCAACTCTCCAAGGTTTTCGAGTTTTTTCTTGTTCATGTGGGGTAACTTGTACTTATTCCCACCTTGTACCTTAAGGATCTCAGTCATGCACTTTTGCAAAGACAACCAAATGTACTTGTTGACTTGAGGATTGAATGCCTCATAAAATTCTTGCACTTTTGTAACTAACTCATCTAGGTTGCTAGGAAAAGACTGATATTGCAATGATTGAATTGACCTAAACAACCCTAAGTCAAGCACATTCAAATATGGTGATTGTGGTAGTTGGAAAACAAATTGAATGTTAAATCCATGAGCTTTTGTTGCTGCCATAAACTCTGCATCAGTAAGAACTTGGTGTGGCCTTGCATTGTCCCATTGGATTACAATATTTTTTGGCTGACTGTCAGGCCACTTTGAAATAATTGCTGGAATGACATTGGCCATCAACATGTCTCTGATGACCTCTCTGTTTACATTCTGTATTACTTTTGTTTCCCATGTTCCTGCTACTCTGTTTTTACTTGACTTCTTGGCTAGTTGTTTGACTGTGAATGGGAATATTCCATATTTCCCATCATGAAGTAGTCCCCCATCTGTGTCATACAATGGCTTCCCAATTAAGCCCATAAACATTGCTTTGAGCTTGAATCTTGTGGACTGTATAGGCCTATAAGGATCTTCCTCACTAGGTAGGAGGTAAAACCTCCTCTTGTCAGGGTTCAGATAGAACCATTTCTCATCCATGTGTATCACATTGTTCATTTCAACAAATGTTGGGTCCCCATTACTTGTAACTGGATTTATGTGTGACAAAATCCATTTCATTCTTGCTACCTTGTGGTTTGATGTAAGGGTTGGCTTGTTGGTACTTGTGTGTGTTCTTAACCTTCCTTTTTTCTTCAAATTGTGAAGTGTCACATGGGAGATCTTTAATGCTGCTGCATAGCTCCTTTCTGTCTGCCTTAAATGTAAAGGCACTGATTGTAGGAATTCATCAGAAAATTCCTTTGGCTTTCTGCCTACTCTGCCAATTTTTTTGCTCCTGACATCAATCAAACTGCCCTGTGCCATTTGTTTCTTTATGTCTGCAAAAATTCTTGTGATGCTTGATTTGTGCACAGTGTAATTAACTGCCAAATGCTTTTAGTGACCTCTTGGTAAGTTGCCTTGATGCATGTTGACTAACATTGAATCCACTATTTCTCTTCTTTGTTTCATGGTGAGCTGCTTTCTTTGTCTCTGTTGAGTCCCCTGGTGAATGGCTTGTTCCATTTCCTTGAAACCACCCTCGGCTTATGTGTGTTCAGTGTTTTGCTGGCCTTGGTCTTCTCCTTCTGTGTCTTGCATCATATCATCTTCAAAGTCGTAGTAATCCATGCCTAAATCTTGCAAATTTTCTGCATATTCGTAGTACAATTCTGCCTCTTATTCTTCTATAAAAATTTGATCCACATTGAAGTACGTCGCTTCAAATGAGTCTGCCATGGTTTTCTGACCTTGTTTGTTTCCTAAGCTTCAGCTGATTGATGTCACGATGGCTGCTGTGTTTTTGAGAACAAGATGAAGGAAAAAGGAGCTGGAGCTGCCTATGAAGGTGTTTGGGTCTTAGTCGGGTAGTATTAACTTAATTGTAGGAATTTTTTTTGGTATATAATGGGCTAACTTAATTATATTAACTTAATTATCTTTTGGAGGAACAATATTTATGTTTTGGGTGAACAAGAAACCATTAAATGCTGTTTGAATTGAGAGGTTGTATTTAATTGCCTCTGTAATATGAAATGCAGTGCTTATATAGGTCTGCAGATTTCAAACACTACACTGTTTTGTACTGTAGTTTAAAATTTCAGCAAATTTTTGGTGGGAAATGAAATTTCTCCAAATTTCAGCCCACAACAAAATTTCAACGAAATTTTGGGGGGGAAATACAATCCCTCCAAAAGTTGTACAGGTTTTCCCACTACTTTTCTTAGTGGTGGGCCAAACCTTTCTCTCTCCAAACTCTTTAATCCCATTTAATTAACCCCACTAATATTTGCCCCTTAACTTTTGCCTCGTGAACCGCGATTACCCCTAAAGTTGCAAATAAAAATTAACGGAGGGAGTAATTTTAATCGTAGATTTGGTAGACCTTATTTGCTAGTCCATAATAAGGCTAACTAAATTGACTGAGCATTTCAGTAAATACACTTATGATAAGAGTTATCATATTGCTCCTACCTTCATAGTGCACTATAGGGATATAAATTAAAGATGTTTATTAGTTACAAGTTAGAACTTTGTGTTTGACTATCTATCAGCTATCACATTTACATATTTTGAGGTTGTGTTAGATAGTTCTACTGAATTCTTTTTTTTTTTTTTTTTTTTAATGAAATGCAACTACTCTATTACATCCTCTGTTGCTGACAAGTATGGTGCGATTTTGATGTGTTACATGGCTCAAATTTGTGGCCTAATTGCGGCTGTAAATATTAATTTGTTGTGTGGTTATTTTAGTGAGTGTATGTGTGGTTGTAGTTGCTTCTGGCTGTTTTTGCACTTTGTGTGGCTGTTTTTATCAGTTGCCTGGTTCAGTTCTGATTTTCATGTTTTGACTTGTTACATTCTCTTATATGGCAAACTCATAAGAAAGCTAAAGGGTTGTTTGGAGTTCCCTCTTGTGGAAATATACGCAAAAGACAAAGCTACCGGAGATGCAAGTGAGTCGTTTGTTGATGCTATAGAAGAAATGGATCAAGAGATTGATAAGCAACCATTCAATGTCCAGAGTGATGAAGAAGATGATGTGAATTCTACTCATTCGGACACTTATTCTTCTACAAGTTAATTCGGAAAACGCCTCATGAAAATAGAGGATGATCATATAACTCCTTCAAAAATGGCAAAAATGAAGGCTTTTACAATTCATTCTTCCGCAAGTGATTCTACTACTCAATCTGGAAAACGCTCTATAAAGGCGAAGGAGACTAAGGTGAAAAGAAAGAACAATGTAAATTTTTTGAAGAGTTTGTTTAGGAATGATGATGATAATTTGGTGGCCTCCCTCCATGATGTTTCCAACAATTTTGGGAAGATATTTGAAAATATCAATGTTAATCTCGAGACTATGGCTAGTGCATGGTCTAAAGCGGAAGAAAGGGAGCAAAGGATGGATGAAAAGGTGAACAAGGTATTGGACGAGGTGATGAAGTTAGATGGCATTTCTCCATCCGAAGCTTTAGAGGTTGCTACTATTCTCGTGGCGGAAGAACATAAGCTTCGCATCTTCTATCAAGCACCATTTAATATGAAAAAACAATATGCAATTGATCTTCTTAAGAAGAAGTAGCATTTGGTTGTGTGCTATTATGTGAGAAAGCTCTTTGAGAAGATATAGATTTGAGCTTGTTGAAATGAAACAAGGAAATAGATTTAATCACAAATGAAATATGAAGTGGGTATAGAGATGGCAATGGATTGGATTTGGATTAGGTGTAGCTTCACCCACATCCATCCATTATTCTAATAGCTCCATCCACATTCATCCGTCAACCGCTTCACTCATCATCCATATCCATCCGTCCATCATTCGCGGATAAAACAGGTAGAGCGGATAACTAACGGATGAGTAATTAAAGTGAAAAAAAATCCACATAAACTCTAATTTTCAATTATTTATACAATAAATTTATATTTTAATAATAAAAAAGAAAAGTATAACAACGTATTCTTTGAAAAAAATTAACTTGCAACACAAAAATAAGTAATTTTTTTGCACATTTTATTTTTTTATTATTAAAAATTTAATATATGTTAACCGTGTGGGTGGATGGTTAACGGGTGAAGTATCATCCATATCCGATCCAATCCAATCCATCACCTACTTCTCATCCATTTAAATCGGGTTTTCATCCATTTATTTAAAGTGGGTGGAGCGGGTTAGCGGATATCCATTTAGTATTGCCATCCTTAAGTAGTTACAGTATGCACAACATAATGTGAGCTCAACCTATGACTTGTTATAATTTGATATCAATAGTTATTTGACCTAAGTTAGATTTTAAAAATAATCCAAAAATTATGAAAAGTTGAATTCAAGCATAATCCATATTACTCAAAAGGTAACAACACTATAAACAACATAATTGACATGATTTCAGAAATTATATTCCTCACAAAATTTAATGTTGTCCTTTGAAAGACTGAAAGTTCCCAAACGAAAAAGAAAAATTGATTCCTTAATGAATAATGACGTAATTTTCCACTCATTATTCCTAGAACGATTAAATCTAGTCCTAAGAAAAGTTCCCAATTAAAGGAAAGACAAATGAGTTTCAATCAAATTTATAAGGACGGTCCATCCACTAAGAGAAGCAACAGAAACCACCAATGTCTAAAAAATATACCCGTACGTCAATATCAACTTACCAATTGTCTCAAAAGGAACTTTAGTCTCGGTGTTACAATTAACCACTGGTTATTTTCAATTAACTCTTTTTATCTACTACTTGTCCGCTCGTATAAAATTGTGATTTAGTTAAAATCTTAAAAGATTTTTCCATTGAAATGGACATTATACAACTCATAAGAAAATGACAATCCTACTCGACCTAGTCATGTTTGGACATCATTTATCCACCCCAAATCGTGGCCGGGCTACTTTTATGTGAGTACGACCCGAGTTGTATGCTTGATTTGGGCCAATTTCATGCCCCACCAACACTAACCAACCTATCAGCAATAAGACAGATAAACCAATAATATGACACAGGAAAAACATCTTTACCAGAAAAAAAAATAGTAGTCTAGTGGGAAGGTAAATAATTTACCTGAGCATTTCTTTTTCAGGAGGACTGAATCAATGGCTTTATTATTTGGTGCAAGAACTGTAGTTCCTATAGATCTTAAGAAGAAGCCATGGGAACAGGAACATCCCCTTCACAACCAGTGGCATCCCGACATACCGGCTGTTGCAGAAGTGAAGGTTGGGGAGGTTTTCAGGGTAGAAATGGTGGACTTTACTGGAGGTGGTATCAAACATGATTCCTCTGCTGAAGACATCAAGCATGCTGACCTTTCTGTGGTATGCTGCTTTGTCTCACTCTCACCTCCTTTTGTACTACGTAGTAGACTTGTAGTATATTTAATGATAACTTCAGAGACTAATTTAACTATGCTTTACAATTCACTATGTTCTTTGCTTTTAATTTCTTATGCATATACAATTCTATACATTTTTTGGATGGTAAGAACTAAGACGAAAACTATGATCGGATCTCTTACGGGTCAACTCAATCCAAATTTGCACACTAAGGTCCTTAGACTTGAGAGGGGGGGGGGGGGAGATGGTACCAATACACATCATATATGTATATGTATATACATACATATTGATCGTATTGCAGTATTTTCACGTATAGAATATAAATACTGGAAAAGAAAAGGATTTGTCCTTTATATAAAAACAACACAAGTAAAAAAATCAAAAAAGGAAAAGTCTACGAGTATCAGGAAAAAGATATTCATCTATGAAAAGAAGCAAACCAGAATCCTAGATGTCAAACTCAGTACCCTTGAGGCCTTGATTGATAGTTATCCTTTCATATTTGTCCATTAAGAAAATTAATACTTGTATGAGAAAAGGACCACCAGCAAAGAAAACAGGTTGCAGAAATTTGTCACTATTAGGCATTTTCTATAGTTTAAATCAGACAATATATCAACCAAATGCATGGAATGTCACTGGAATATTACTAAGGCTGAGTTGTCGGAAACACATGGTATGCTAGTAAACTAAAACCACAAAAATGGGTCCTCGTACACCAACATTAGTGGTACCAGTAGACTTGAAGAAGAAACCATGGGAGCAAGAGCTACCTCTTCATAATCGTTGGCACCCTCAAATACCTCCGTCGCGGAGGTAAAAGCAGGGGAATTCTTCAGAATTGAGATGGTAGATTGGACAGGAGGTGTTATCCGTGATAATGACTCTGCTTCTGATGTAAAATTTATAGACCTCTCAACTGTAAGAACTTAATACCTTTAGGATATACTAGTTTGTAGTATATCATACTTCATACCATTATTTGTTTAAGATGCCGAACTTTATGCACAGACATCAGATTATCAACAACGTTTCTGATTGAATTCAATCATATAATTTGGAGGTTTAGTTGTGTTTATAACTGACTTGAAATTGTACCAGGTTCATTACTTAAGTGGGCCAATTAAAGTTTCGGATGTAGATGGGGTTCGGGCTAAACCAGGTGATCTTCTCTCAGTGGAAATATGCAATTTGGGTCCTCTGCCTGGGGATGAATGGGGATATACTGCAACTTTTGACAGAGAAAATGGGGGTGGATTTTTGACTGACCATTTCCCTTCTGCTACTAAGGCTATTTGGTATTTTGAAGGGATTTACGCGTACTCAACTCATATACCAGGTGAGACTTTTATCCACAAGTCCACAACTATTAGTACAGGTTTACTGCAATGAATGGTTTATAGTTTTAATGCTTTTCCAACCTATGCTACTCGGACTCTTCATTTCACCTCAAATGCCCATGCCGGAATCTTGACACTTCAATATGAGTATGGACACTTGACACATCATTTTGAACCAAAAATCAGAAAATAGCTCATAAAATAGTTGAGTTTGATACGTGGACAAAGACCAATGTTAGACATGGATACCCAAGTTTGAGTTACATAGTTTCCAATTGTTAGCTAGGCACCGAGAAAGTTTTGTGAAGTTACTGTTCCATTCTGAGTTCTGACACAAGATCTATGTTTGCTTCTACATGCATATATATCAGGAGTACGTTTCCCCGGTTTAACCCACCCTGGAATAATTGGGACTGCTCCTTCAAAGGAGCTCCTTGATATATGGAATGAAAGGGAAAGCGAAGTTCAAGAAAACGGTTTGAAGTCTCTAAAGCTGTGTGAAGTTCTGCATTCAAGACCACTAGCAAACTTGCCATCACCCAAAGGCTGCCTATTAGGGAAGGTAAGAAAACTACAGAGTTTAATTGTAAGCAAATAAAAGAATAGTGTTTGATTATTCTGATGAAATATACTGGTCCTGACTCCTGAGTAGATAGAAAAAGGCACACCAGAATGGGAAAGAATTGCGAAAGAGGCAGCAAGAACAATTCCAGGAAGAGAGAATGGAGGAAATTGCTACATCAAAAATCTTAGCAAAGGTTCAAAGATTTACCTGCCAGTGTTTGTAGAAGGAGCTAATCTTAGCACAGGTGATATGCACTTCTCTCAGGGGGATGGTGAAGTCTCTTTCTGTGGCGCAATTGAAATGAGCGGCTTTCTTGAGCTCAAGTACATTTTCTCTACTCCTCTTTTCTGCACTTATGCTGCAAACAAAAAAACTATAAATATAACAGCAAACCATTACAACCTAATAAAGTTGTATCACTAGCATACCAAAAAACAGATCCCTGCAGAATCCTGCTTGTGCAAACAAAACTCATTATGATTCTACCACCTTTGTCCTAAAAGATAACAAGCCACACTTATAGTTTAGTTTATTTCAAACCAAAAAAAAAAACAAAAAAGGTACAGTGAAGCTGTAAGCCTGCAAGTAAATGATATTTATGTTATGTTAATATTCTAAAAAGATGATCTAAATCAAACGTGGCCTATATAGAGATGGAGGGTATACTAATTTAATCTGCGGCACTAAAGGCATGTTATTCAGTAGACTGACATGAAAGGCAGGAAAGAGAAAAGAGCAGAAAAATCCAGCAAAGTTTCAACATCAGAATTCAGAAGATAGTTTTGTTTCAGAAAAGAGTACATTTTCTACACCTGGGCAGTAAATGACGCTAAAGAAATACTACAATACTATCTAAGAGGCCAAAAGACAATTAAAAAGGTGTAATATAAGATTTAATAGACTTAATATAAGAACTTAATATTACAATCAAAGCTAACTAGGAGATTATGTACATCTATGTATTATTGTATGTCTGCTAATAACAAACTACTATCACTTATTAGATGTGACATTATAAGAGGTGGAATGAAGGAGTATCTCACACCAATGGGTCCAACTCCTCTGCATGTAAACCCCATCTTCGAGATAGGTCCAATTGAACCAAGGTTCTCAGAATGGTTGGTATTCGAGGGCATTAGTGTTGATGAGAGTGGAAGGCAACACTATCTTGATGCAAGTGTCGCTTATAAGCGTGCAGTACTCAATGCCATTGATTACCTCTCCAGATTTGGTTACTCCAAGGAACAGGTTTGATTCTCATATGCAAAAATGTAGCGGCTAATTCATATAACTAATTAAGAAAAGCTAACTTACCCTTAGAAACTGTTGGAATGCTTGACAGGTCTATCTCCTGCTATCTTGCTGCCCTTGTGAAGGAAGAATCTCTGGCATAGTTGACTCCCCAAATGCTGTTGCCACCCTTGCAATACCAACAGCCATCTTTGATCAGGTATTAGTTTCATGCATTAAAAACGACTTTAAACTACATTGTTAAAGCCTATTTTACTCTGTCCCTTCATTTCACCTCAGTAAAATGAGATTTTCATAAAATAGTCAAGTTTGACAATCGGGCCCATACCCTTGTCTAACATGGAGAATTCATTATTTGATTACAAAAAAAAAAAAAAATCCCTCTTTTTCCAGAATTTTTATGAGTTTAATATGCTGTGGCTGCAGGACATTCGACCTAAAAGCAGAAGGATTCCTGTTGGCCCAAGGTTAGTGAGGAAACAAGATGTGTTGAAATGCACCTATGATGGTAACTTGCCTATTACAAGGAACCCAGCTGCTTCAACATGACTAACGCAAGCAGAAAACATAACTACTCTTGAGCAGGCCCTTTTTCACAGCAGTTATAGGATGTTCAAAAGAAATGAATGGGCAAAATTGCACCATTCAACTTTTTATTTAAAAAATCTCATACTCTCTCTAAGTTATCAATTTAAATAAACATCAGGAAAGAAAACTAAATAATTTCTTTTTGTGAAGCAAAGGGATGGAAATGCTACATTGATGCTAATTCCAAAAAAGCATGACCAAATTTACTTGCACTAGCTTTTAAGAATACATTAATCATCCTAAATTTAACAGGATCAGAAGAGGCAAAATAAATCTTCAACGTGTGATGCATGATGATTGATAAATTAAAATAAATAAAAAGGGCTACGCAACAGCAGAGCTTCAGTAGTATTTGGAAAGTGTCCTGTGGTGAATGAGAGAAGGTAACTGAATGCTATAAGACCATAAGCCAATGATCGAGCTCGCTCAACTCCTGATATAAAAAATCATCAACTACAAGGAGAGGAATGAGGAGTAGGAATTTCATGGAATAGAAGCTTAGTGTAATAGTGTTTGTAAGGATACTCTTGAGTCTCGACCCTTGAGATTTGAGACTCGGGAAATCATCGGCACCTACTGTCCTGAAGCATGTAAGTTTCTTCTAAATGACTAATTAAACTAAGTTCACATTGTTCTGATGGTAATTTTAGTACCAGGAAAGAATTCCATGCTTGTTAAAGCTTCTTGCTCAGAGCAAAAATATAAAGTAACAGAACAGACAGGATGAAAGCCAATGGAAAAGAGACATTATTATGTTATTTTGTTCTCTTGCAAAAGGGAAGAACATCCAGCACCTTTCTTTTTACAGTATCTTTTCATTTCAAAGAGATCAAGAGTTAGAGTTAGCATACTCGGCATCATTTGCACTAAAAAAAAAAAAGAGTAGATTCGCGAAAGATTAATGTACAAAAGACCATCAGAAATGATCCATCACTTCATCAACAACAATCCTTGGCTCACAAAAAACCCCTGTTGCTAATTCCAGCAGTTTGTATTTCTTTTGAGCCAATATGACAGCATGCTCAAATAAATTTCAGGTTACAGCCATTACAGGCCACAAAAGCATGCTCAAAACCCATATTTCCAGGTTGATTTATGACATCTCTAATTAGAACAGATAGCACATCAGTCAACAGGTAATTTAGAAATTGGATACCCTACGAAACATACACTGAAAAAGTGATTTTCTAGTTCTTTATAGGTAGTGTCAGGATAAACACTATAGCAAATCTGCCCCTACCCCCCCCCCCCCCTTCACCCAACCCTGCACAATCCATGTTCACATAAGGTTGTATTTCAGTGCAGCACCTGGTCTCAGTTTAAAAGGTGAGTTCATATCACTTATGATCTTAAACTTAAAGACTAGCACCTGAAAACAAAGTGATTGCAAAAGATATTCAGATTTACCTGCTTCCAAGCTTTTCAGCTGGATCAAATCCTTCATCTTTCCTACTGTTCTACAGCATGGATGGAGCAAGCTCGCAATTCTACCTCCACGGCTCCACCTCAGTGCCAGAGCTATCCCGCCATTTCACTCAGCCATGCTAGCAAGTGAAGGATTGTAGTTTACTGAAGTTAATCATAAAAAGATGCCGCAGAACAATGTATTCTGCAAATATTATGACAGAACCTGTCACAGAACTCCACAAAACCCTAGTCCTTGAATGCACCCCAAAAATCTGCTGCAAATATATGTGCCCTTCTGTACAAAAAACTTGATGACCTTTATATATTGTGTGATCACTAAAGTATGCGGCATGTATACAAATACAATAGGAATTTAGTGAGATAGAAGTTGCAAAAATTTCGTGCAATTCAAAAAACAAAAAAAGAAAATAAAAAAAAAAAAAAAATATTATAAAAGACCTTTTATAGGCTTTTTGTGATCTTCAGCTAAAAGACATGGACACCAGCATGGCAGCATGTAAATACCGCCTCACGGAGTAAGCGAGCTCATTCATCTTCTAAAGGAAGTGATCGTGGCCAACTTTAAAACTTCTTCAGTTCAGGGCCTGAAACAACCTTCACAAATGTGAGTTCACGTAACCTGAATGTATGGGTAAATCTGTGTATATACATTTGCAATGTCAATCACCACTCTAAATTTCAAGAAATTGTTCAATTTCATAGAAACAAAAACAACTTAAATCTATGTAAGAAATGCAAACCTAATGCAACTATAAAAGCATTTGATTGCAAAATATGCAAACACAAACGGATGAAAAAAATAAGTATTCATGAACAAGACAAATGTACACCACATCTGAGTACTTTCGTATCCTTTGTAGGCAATCTACAATAATTCTGCATCAAAAGTCAAATTGTCATGCTATATATATTGCTCTCTTTAGTTCAAAAAAAGATTTATCATATTTTAACTTCGATCCTCTTCTACCAAAGAATGATACTAATATACTCGGTTTCCTTGGTTTTGTATTGAGTGAATAGGCTGTACATTTACTGATATACAAGCAATGCTTTGAGTAAAAGCTATACAAACATAAACATATGTGCCAAATTAAGCTAATTACAGGATGCACCCAAATAAATCACAATAATGTAAAACAAAGTCCATGAACATCAGGAAAACAACACAAAAATGTATCTTATATATGCTGAAAACAAGTCAGATTTCTGATTTCTGATATCTGAAAAGAAGGTATAATGCATTATTACAAATCTTAGAGATAAATTAAAAAGGTACCCAAAGCGGGGGACTAGTGAATGTGAGTTTATCTTAAAAGTAAAAACAAATTGTTCTCTATCCCACTAGAGTATACACAATAAAGCATAGACATAGCATTACGAGTTTACGACATTACGTAAGGATACTATGTAACAATCACATTGTTTATAAAAATGGACCATGGCTTGACAAATCTCTCCCGTCTCAAGCTCATCAAATGTTATTGGAAACTAAACCATTGTATTGCTCACAAGTACTCGTAGTAATAAAAAACACGAGTAGAGTTGATCATGGGTCAGTTTATTATAGCAGAGAAGTTAAAACATTGAAACCAATTCCGGGGTCGAATTGGCATGACTTGACAAATTGACATAATAGCGAGGCCCATCATGTCAAATTGTCAAGTAACGACTAGTTTCAGATGCACCCAAATGCTGTAAGATGCAGTACATACTGGACAAATACAAATAATTGTAGTTGTATAAGACAAACTCGTTAACCTAACACGATCCTAAGGATTGTCTTTACCAATCAAATTACCATATTCTGAGTTACCAAATACAATAATACGAGTAATAATTTTAGGATAAGATAAAATTAAATATGATATATGTTATATACCAGGCCAAAAGCAAAATTCATGAATAAATAATGTATACCCTCATGATCCTTTCTCAATTTCTTTGCAATTTCTAAAGTTATGTCATCATTATCAATTTATCATGCTCAGTTAAAGATAAAGTGAATTAAGAATATATAAAGTTTACATGCTAAATTGCTAATAAAGAGAAGAAAATTAGAGAGATAAAGTACCTGGAGAATTGATAAAAATATGGGATGAGATGAATTTGAAGCAACCCAAGCGGCGGATAAAAGAATAAAGTTGATACGAAAGGATTTGGAAGTTGCGTCTTTTATTTTAGATTTAGAGAGACGAGAAAATTTCCCGCTTTTGTGTTTTTTCTTTCTTTGCTGTGTAGCACGGTCGTGTGGAGCGTGGACTATTGTGTGTTGTACTTTGAAGTTTGAAATGTTCGTTTTGTCCATCTTATTTTTCAAGAGAGATTTAGAAATAAAAGTATGAATTTATGTGATGACGATAGAGATAGAAAGAAAGCATGTGCATATATGATAAGTTGATATCATTGCAATATCTTTGAAATTTTCTAAAATGGTAGTTGTTGGCTTGTTGCGGAGAACGGGAAAAGTATATACTTTGTTTTTTTTGTTTTTTTTTTTTAATTGCACCATTTGTAATTTCACGTTTGTTCATGCATAATTTTGGCGATAATGCATTACTTTGATAATTAAAATCTATTTGTGTGTTGATGATTGTTTATGTACTACTAGCCTTGCTATACATGTGATTGTTTAAAATAATTTATATCATTAGTTTTAAACAATATCAATCAACAAAATTTAATGAGTTAAAAGTAAAGATGATCTAATATATTGAGAAGTTTAAATTTTAAGACAGTATATAAATGTAACCAACCAATATATAATATAAACTATTTGAATGTTACGTATAGTTTTTTCCAGTAGTTTATATACTTACATGTAGCGTGTTTAGATATTGAATTATTTTTTTCTTTTTTGTTTTTTTTTTTAAGGAAAGTTTAGATATTGAATTTATGTATTAGTTTGCACAAATTTGTACTTGGTATTAAGTTTCCAAAAGACTAAAAATTAATAAAAAAGTTTGTTAAAACACAAAACCTTAATCCAAGCAGGGTACATCAAAAGTAAGTCAATGATGCAAGTTGTTACAATGTTTTCCTCACTCGATTTTTCAACATGAATCTGCTTAGGAAGCCCACCTACCATTTTCAGTTTTCAATCGCCATAAATTAAATGTGGATATCTTCATGGATGTTATTAATGCCATCTAAATAGAGTATTCTTAGAGGTGCACTCCCCTGATGACATGGAATTGATACGGTGGATTGGTGGTCATTTGGTTGAATTGAATTTAATAGTTAAATCAAGTAAATAGTATTTCCAATGTAAATTCTTTATGTAGTAAGTTTGAATTTGTAGTGTTGGACATATGATGTAAGACTTCTCATGGAAAGCAACTTTAACCCATTTGTTTGAAAGAAAAGAAAAAAAAAACACGTGAAGTGTTAATTCATAGCTATTTGTTTGCTACTAGACAATTTAACGTACTTTTTTTCTTTAAAACATATCTTATTGTTTTTTCTTTACCAAATCAAACAAGTGCTTGGCATAAGAACACAAAAACATTTTAGACACGAGATGTTATAGTTAGATAGTCTGCTATCTAATTATAACATCTGATGTTGAACTGCTCATTACAAGAAACTCAAAATGAAATTGATTGGGTGTTAGACAACGTATATTTTTATTTAAAAAAAAAAAAAAAAATAAATAAAAAATACCAACAAGGTCGTAAGGCCAATACAGTCCATCACATCCAAAGATGAATGTCAAATGATGACCTTAACTTTCATGGTGAGTTAGTATAAAATTTTATAGTCTCCTCTTGTTTTGCA